ATAAAATTGTATTGCCCCATGAAAAGCTCAAGTCTAGGCACAAGTCTAGGCACAGTGCATTTGAATGTTTTAAGTTTGTTAATTTTTTAAAAATGTTGTACTGAATATTTTTGATTGATATTTTACATGAAAATAATACAAGTTATATACTTTAATATAACATTACTCTAAAATGTGTTAAAATTCACAAACTTTGTAAAAACATATATTAAAATTGTTTTCAGCGCAAAGGTTGTTGCTCAAATCGTAGCAGAATGCATATGGTTTTAAAAATGTTTTACTAAACGTTTGATATTTCATACAAAAATAATACATTTCATATACTTTAGAACAAAAATTATTAATTTATTTTAAATACTACAAATTTCATAAATTTTTATTTCAAAAGTTGTTTATTACAGCACAGCACTCGTATCAGATTGCATGCGCTGCTTTATGAAGTTTTTTAATTTTTCAAAAATGTTCTATTGAATTTATTTGAATGACATTTTATGTAAAAAAATACAGTTCATGCCCTTTGAAATACAATTAATTGCAATTCTGTTCACTCAAACATTCGGAAAATATTAATTAAAATTTCATTATCCGCTTATTAAAGTTAGTAAATTTTTTTAAAATATGTTCTACTCAAGTGATTTGTTTGATTTTTTTGCGTAACAATAAAACACTTTATAAATTGGAATTATTCAGAAATTAGTTGAGGTTCACAAATTTTTTTAAAAGATCAATTGAAATTGTTATGCCCCGAGCGCAGAGTATAAGTTCTTACACGTGCTAGGCACTTGTATAATGCGTATGCTTCTGAAGTTTTTTATTTTTTTAAAAATGTTTCACTCAATTTATACGTTTGATATTTTGTGTAAAAATGATAAAATTAATGCACTTTAAGATGACATAACTTAAAAATTAATCATTGTACTCAAATTTTCCAAAAATAATAAAATAAACCTGTAGTGCTCGCAAAAGGTGTCATCAGATTGCGTGTGCTTTATGAAGTTTTTTGAATTTTTCGAAAATGTTCTATCAAATTTATTAAAATGACATTTTATGCCTCAAAAGTATAGTTCATAAACTTTAAAATGCAATTACTACAATTTTGACAAAGTACTTAAAAATTCCGGAAATAATTATTAAATGTTTGGTTTTCCTTGCAAAGGATGCAGCTCAGATTTTGATGACAGACGTAAGGCTTATTAATTTTTTAAAGATGTTCTACTAACTTTATCCGCTTGATGTTTTATGTAATGACAAGATAAGTTGTAAACTTTATGGTGGCATAGTTTGAAAATTAATTAAAGTTCTCAAACTTTTGTAAAAATTAATTGAAATTTATATGTTCCGAGCGCAGAGTACGATGAGTTCTTACACGTGTTAAAGTTCATACTAAAATTTGTAGTGTAGGCTTTTTGAAGTTTCTTATTTTTTTAAAAATGTTCTATTAATTTTAATCGCTTTATATTTTTTGTACTAATAATAGAAAAAATGTACTTTGCGGTGCCACTTCTTAAAAATTCATTATTGTTCTCAAATTTTTCAAAAATATTTTATAAATAATCATTAAAGGAGTGCTTTCTTAGTAGGAGATATGTGTCAAACGTGTGCTTTTTTCAAAGTTTTTTAATTTTTAAAAATGTTCTACCGAATTAATCCATTTGATATTTTTTCCAATAATAATGGAATAAATATATTTCAATATGGTATTATTTAAAAAGTAGTCAGTTTTCAAATTCTTCAAAAATAATAATTAAAGGAGTGCTTTCCTCGTGAAAGATATGTCTCGAGCGTGTGTTTTTTTCAAAGTTTTTTGATTTTTTAAAAATGTTTTGATAAATTTATACGTTTGATATTTTGTGCAATAATAATAGAATGTGTGAACTTTATGCTGACACTAATTAAAATTCAGTAAAAGTTTCTAAACTTTCTGAAACCACCAACTAAAATTTAGTTTTCCGAGCGAAAAGTATGATTTCGCACTTTTTAATTTCAAGCTGTGACAGATATCATGTGCTTTTATAAAAGTTTAGTTAAAAAAAAGTTTTGCTAAATTTATACATTTGATATTTCATATAATAATAAGAGAATTCACAAATTTTAAGATCATGCTATTTATGTAATCAGTGAATATTCCAAAAAAAATTAATCAAAATTAATTATGATTGTGCTTATGGCCATGCATATCATTTCTGATTTTTTTTAAAGTTTCACAAAGTTTTGTCAAAAATGTATTTTCGACATCAACAAAACCAAGCAAGACTTTTGATTTAATCAATAAATTAATGTCGTTTTGATTAAATCAATTTGATATAAATTCTTTGATTTAATCAATAAACTAAAACCCAATGTCGTTTATATTAACTTTCTGGTCATGTAAAAACTCACTGCAATAGTTGTAATTTTTACAAAGTACACAAAACGTTTTAAATCTATATTAAATATGCACAATTGTGTTCGAATAATGTGTTGCCTAATAAAAGGAAATCATTTGTAAAATTAGGCGCATATAATTAATTATTTAAAACCATAAAATTGCAAAGCAAACATCGAATTATATATTTATACAAATGCAATCAATATACGTACGTTTACTTTATGGCATTTTTAAATTAATTATTTATGATTGTAGAAATTTATGTAAACAACATTTTACACAAAAATTCATTCTGGAACGACATAATTTTTAGTTGTAAATAAAAATCCTATTTTATAATAATTCATTAAAAATTTTATAGGGTCATCACCGAATCAAAGTTACATTAACCAAAGTGCTTATTCTTATAAAAAATTATAATTTCAAACCTGTAAAATGATATTTTACAAGATACATAACTTATCACGATAATATTTTATATAAATTAGTTTTAACTTCCCGTAGGGTAAGTTATTGTAATGGGCCGAAAATCGGAATTGAAAATTTTTACATTACGTTTTGAAGGTTTCTGAACATTTTGGCATACCTCAGAAAAAATGGATGTGTGTGTGTGTGTGTGTGTGTGTGTGTATGTATGTATGTATGTATGGATACAAATTTTCAGTCACGTTTTCGGGCGCACGGATCAACCGATTTGAATAGTTCAAAAAACATTCGATTCCTATCGATAGGGGAAAGCTGATTAGCTTTTGGTAAAGGCAGGTCCAGCCGTTTCGGGGAAACGGAGCAAAGAGTGCAGAAAATCGAAATCGAGTTTTTGAGAGAACGGAGTATCCGATTTGAATGATCTAAAAAACATTCAATTAGTAATGATTGGGAGAAGTGTTAATTAGTTTTTGGCCAAGGTAGGCCCAGCCATTTCGAAGATACGGAGCTAAATATGTAAAAAATGGCCGTTTTTGAGAGAACTAAGCGTCCGATTTGAATGAATCAAAGAACTTTCTGTTTGTCTTAATAAAATAATTGATTTTGGAAAAAAAAATTGTTTCATTTTTTTTTTTTTTTAAATTCTTTGTATATCGAAAATAATTCAGATTTTATTTTTAATTCTGACTATAGTTCAAATATACTTTAAACAAATAATTTCAACTTTGCAATTCAGTTTATATAATACTTATAAATATTAGACAATGTTACAATATTTATAATAATTTATTTGAAAACATTCAGTATTCCTCGAACATTTCGTTACGGTACGGGAAGTGCCAGCAATTTGCCTTAAGGTACGATGCCACCCACCCCACTAGTTTTTTAAATATATAGAATCGTTAGAAAATTCAAAATTTGAAGAAATGGTACAAGATCACTAAAATTAATTGCAAAAAAATTTAAGATTTTTTAGGAAAAATACACTTCGAATTTTTTCCTTACCAAACAGACAGCCAAAAAGCTTTATATTCATTGTTTGTAAAATTAAATATATTTTTTTTAAGAGCTTATATATATATATATATATATATATATATATATATATATATATTTACATCTGGCAGACAGAAATCCATATCAGTGTGTTTAAGTCTTGTGTAGTCGTAACATCTACAAATATCTTCCAAAAAAATCGAGTGTTTTTAACAAAAAAATATTAGTGATATGGATATATAAATTATTACAGGTAAATAATTTTTGCTTCTCAATTTTATATAAAAACCTTTTTTAGTTAATTCTTATTACTCTTTACCCCGGTACATAATCCATTCCTTTATAAAATTTTTTTTCTAATTAATCTGTATTGACCATCGTTAATTAATGTTAATCAATATTTTTAAAAAACATTGTATTTGACAGAATAAACCTGATGATGGAACGTACCTAGTTCCGAAACGTCGTATTAAACATCTTCAAAAAACAAATTGTTTTTTTTTATTGGATTTACTGTTCGGAAAAGAAACAATCAATATATTGAAAAAATCCAGGACTTATCTATTGAATATATATATATATATATATATATATATATATATATATACATATATATGTATAAGCAAACACATATAAGCAAAGTATCCATGCCATAAATACATATTTTCTCTCTAAAAATTTATGAATAAAATTACATTCAAAATCCTAAGGGTGCATATGAATGAAGAAATTATGTGTACATGTTACATAACAACATTTTTATAATTAAGAAGAGTAAATATTCATATTTTAATAAAGTATTTATTTAAATCTGAAGAAAACAAAATAATTATAAACGCAGTAAATTCTAAATTACTCATTTAACATCTCTTAGGTGAAATATCATTTTTGTTTAAATTTTGATTTTATTCAGATTTTAGTTAGTTATCAATATTCAGAAAAAAAATTCAGTAGATGGTATTCATCGTAGTTAGAATTATATTCATTACTTTGCACGGACAACCCGATGTCAAGCAGTCAAACAATCAAGAAATTAGTGAATTTATAATATACATAAGACAACTATTTATTTCGCTTTGTTTCATAATTAATTTATCTGTTTTTATATTTTTTTAGAATTCGCTACGAGATTTTGGACATTATTATTATTGGACAACTATTTATTTCGCTTTGTATCATAATTCATGTATTTCTTTTTATGTTCATTTAGAATTTGCTACGAGATTTTGCACCCCCGAAGGCAAATGGGCGGGTAGACCGACGGCTGGTGGAAATTTCTCAAGCGGAAATTTTTCATCAAATCCGAGAGGATGGACAAATTATTCCGAATGTTACATGCCAGAAGTTAGAGACATTTGGAGAAAATTGGGAACATCCGTAGAGGTAAAAAATAAAATAAAAAGACAATTTACACTTTTTCAGACAATTTACGACATTTTTAGAAACTATATATTATTTTCAGACATCTCACAACATTTTTATATAATATACAACGATTTCAGATATTTTACAACACTGTCAGTCAATTTATAACATTTTTATACAATTTACAACATTTGCAGACATCTTACAACATTTTCAGACATCTCATAACATTTTTAGACAATTTACAATATTTTTAGACAATTTATAACTGTAACTTTTTAATTTGTAACTATAATTTTTAGACAATATTAATGTTCCTAATTTATTAATTAAATTATTTTTATCAAAGTTTATGTTAGGATTGTTAATAGTTGTATTATTTTATTTTAAATCAATATAATAACAACTAAATGATATTGTGTTCATAATAAGAAAACAGTAAAAAATTAATTTATATAAATAAATAATAAATATTAATTAAATAATTAATACTCGAAAATATTTTTTAATTATATTAATTTTTATATTAACCAGATGTACTATTTATAGTTTTATATTTTATTTTTAGGAAAAGTTAGCAATAGCAAGTAATACAAGAATTTTGGAAATTGTAGGATTTACGATTTCTTTGGCAGCTCTTTTGATATCTTTAGGAATTTTTTGTCATTTCAGGTAAAAATTATATATATATATATATATATATATATATACATGCATAATTTAATAATAAACATATTCTTATTCATACAATTCAATACTTATGTGTAATCAATATGCAGTTTTAAAATAATTGCAAAGAATTACAAAATAGGTAGAAAACGTTTTTCCAATTTTTTTGTAATAATATACATACTTGTAAAATGGTAACAAAAATATATAACATTTTTCACATAATTTGAATTACTATTCGAAAAACGTGTAAGTATTAAAAAATGTTAAATTCAAAGCATTTTTGATAAAAAAATATATTTAATTCTTCATTGCAAATTATGTGAAAACCAAATCCCTTACAAATTCCAATGAAGAGAAAAAAGTTGTGTCAGGTATAAAAAGTGGAAAAAAATATTTTATCTGAATGGTCAAAAATGTTTTGATAAAAATAAACTTCGTTTATCAACACAGTTTTTTTTCGATTAAATAATTTAACATCTAGCAATAATAATAAATATTTACATAAATTTAAATAAATAAGAGTGCAAAGGTAGAATTTACATTAAAATGATATCCGTAGTATGATGAATTAATATAAAATATAAGCAAATAATAATAAAAATAAAATTAATAAATAAAATAGACCCTAAAATAAATTGTATAAGTATAATAGGGTTATACATAAACATAGGGAGATTTATAACTAGTTGTATATGGCATTTTGCCTTGAATTAAATAAAAAATCAATATATTTATTTGTAAGTATCTTTTTCCAAATTTGGTCTCATTCGATTCAGAATGACTTAAAACGTCGAGGAGACAAATTTAGCAAATCAGATTTTTGGACGTAAACATAAACTAATGATTCAGTAAATTTAAAAAAAAATATCATATATTCCAAAAAATTATTTTGGATTATTTGAATTAAAAGTATGAAACTTCTCCCAATATAAGAAACAGTACAATCGTTACAATCGACTTTGATCAAATTGAGAATGTAATTTTATTTTCGATTTGTAACTAGTTGTAAGTGGCATTTTGCACTAAAAAATCGACTCAATGAGAAATCAATATATTCATTTCTATGTCTTTTATAAGTATCTTTTTTCCAAATGTTGGTCTCATTCGATTCAAGATGACTTGAAACATCGCGAAAATATAAAATTAGCAAATCAAATTTTTGGGCAAAAACATAAATTTATCATTCGAAAAATTAAAGAAAAATATCATTTGTTCCAAAAAATTATTTTGAATTATTTGAATCAAAAGTATGAAACTTCTCCCAATACAAGAAACAGTACAATCGTTACAATCAACTTCGATCAAATTGAATATGTAATTTTATTTTTGTGAGTTTTTTATTTTAAAACGGTAAAAAAAATACTAAAAATTAACTTTTTTATGGAAAATAAATGATGTACTTATTTTTATTAAAAAGTGATAAATAATGATTTGAAGAATTAAAAGAAATTATGATACACGATTATATATTTATAAATACAAATATTTAAATATTACTTGAATAAATCCTTAAATATTATGATGATGATTTGTTATGGATCTCATCTGTTTTTAATTATGCTTTTATTGAAATATGAAGGATAAGATTTGAAGGACCTAAATTTATATTCTTTTTACATTTTTAACCATTTTGCGAAGCTAATTAAATTAAAGGAAAAAAAAAGATTTGTATCTATTATATATATATATATATGTATATATATATGTATATATATATATATATATATAAATATATATATATATATCATTCTGATGCAAACAAATGCATGAAAGTGCATTTCAATTTCAAGGAATCCTTTTCAATGTTGAAATGGAATCGGTTTCGCGGAAATAAATGGAATACTTTCAAAGTTTATGTCAAATAGATGCATTCTCATTTCCATATTCATACTACAATATTATATATGTAATATAAATTGAAATTTTATGGTTATACAAATATTTTATAACATGCTATTATGTTTTTTTTATTAAAATAAAATCTAGGAGAATAAACAATAAAATACTAATGTTTTTCTGTAAAGAACAAAACTGTGTAGTTAAGAAAAACTATAAGCATATGTACAGGATATAAGTACAAAAAATAGTTTTGTATTTTGGAACAAAATGTAATATTATAGAATATTTATTTATAATATACATTTCAAATAGTAAGCAGCCTATGCATCGAATAAAAAAAGAGCTAAAAGAAAAACATTCTTCATTAATGAAACGTTTCGATACCTGATCTGTGTCATCATTCAGCAATCCAACCAGGACAAAAATAAATACTTAGAACACTAAAATAAGCTTTAAAAAAACATTTTAAAAATTATAAGAAATAAAAAATCAATCCGTAACTAAAAATTTTAAATCAAAAATTAAAAGAGAAGACATGTTGGCTTATAGACAATTTATTTTATATATATAATTTTATTACAGGGGTTTAAGAAACAACAGGACCAGAATCCACAAAAACCTTTTTTCGGCCATGGTCACACAAGTTTTGGTTCGATTAGTTTTATATTTGGACCAGGCCATAGTGCGGGGGCTGAAAGTGGGTTCTTCGAATTCTGAAGGAGCCCTACATGGCATCGATAACACGGTAAGAAAAAAATTATATCTACATATTATATATATATATATATATATATATATATATAGGTTTCTTAAACATTTAGTGGTAAATAAATATTTATTACCCTTACATTGACTTTTCTGCATGTTATCGGGTTACTTGAGAACGTTCCTAGAAACTATTAACGAAGTTTCGTATTTACATAATCACAAAGTAGTAACGAAGGAACTTTGTACTTAC